AAAAAAAAAAAAAAAACAACTAATTTGGGTTTGAGGGGCATTTTGTATTTAGCCATTGGGGGCCCTAAATCCTCAAACTGCCCCCCAATAGCTATACACAGTTAGTTTAGAGGGCATTTTGGTCAAGTTATAAAGAGACATTTACAAAAACTCCAAAAAAGACCAAAATACTCCTCCCAACAACTATAAACAACAAATTTGGAGGGAATTAGATGATAAGAGAAGATGTATGATAGATGAAACTCTAGAAATGTGCATATGTCTCAAATATTGGCTAGAATTAGAGGATAATCTACAAAATCAAGGAGGACAAGACACTTAATCTAGTGGAACACCAAAAGATCCAAACGACTATCAAGAAGGAGATGGAACTTGAAGACCCAGTAATTGTACAAAATTCTTAGTATTATTGTAAATTTTGATTTTCGATTTTATTTGTAAATTGTAATCCAAGTCATTTGTGATTTTTTTTTCTAATTCCGTTGTGAACTTTTATTTTTAATTTTATTATACTATTTCATTCCAATTCCATTGTAAGTTTTTTCAATTTCATTTTATTATTTCATATATGAATAATTAAAATTCACATGAAATAAAATTTTAAGATTTTTTTTCCCAATTTTGTCTCTCCTGTTAAGTTTTTTTATTCAAATTTTCATTCTTTTCTTTCAATTTTTCCTTCATAAAAAATTGTGCCAACCCCCCGCTCCCTACTCTAGCATGTTGTGCCTAGCATGCCACATTACAATTATAGATTCAACCCAAAATTGACACGTTAATCGTGTTAAATGGGTCAACATGATTTTGACACAAATACAATCAAGGTAAATCCAAACACACTAACTTCATGTTGTGTTCATGCCAAATATTGCCAACCCTAGGGAACAACCCCTATATAGAGATCTAATAGTCATCTTATCAATGGTGAGAATTTTAGAGGCAAAACCATTGACAGGAGATGGGGAGAAGTGACAGCTACAACTTCCCAAAAGCCGGTTGTACGGGAATTATGGTCCCCACCAACACAACAAAGAACAAAGTTGAACTTTGATGAAAGTTCTAAAGGTAATCCAGGCCCCCCGGGTATAGGGGGAGTTTTCAAAGATGGAGAGGGTAGAATTTTTGTGATGTTTTCAGGGCCAATAGGGCATTCAGGCAGATTAGGAGTATGGATATATAGACAGCCCATAAGGGAAATCCTCAACATAACAAGGGAGATTGGAGCAAGCTCCAAGTGAACAAGAAGATCAGCTAATGGACTGTGAGGGAGGAGTTTGTTTTGGGCAGTGTTGAAAAATGATGAATTTGGGTTCAACTCCCTAATTTAGGGTACACAGTGGGACTGAAGTTATATTTGAATAAATGGATTGAAAGAAATTAGTTATATCATGTCTAAGAATCTTACTTTCCAGCAACAAAAGGGACACCCTTCTGAGAATTAGCTGGGATTTCTCCTTGTAATCCAGGTATTATATCTGTCATTAATTGAACAATGCTGTGATCTTCACTGTAGCTTTCATAACATCGACCCCATCTTGGATCTCTACAAACCTGTATGGGTTGAGGTAGCAAAGGGGAAAAACATTAGGAGAAACAAAAAGCTCCAATCTTCTTTAACTGTTTAAAACCTACCATCAAAAGTTTAGGATATCAGAGATCAAGTGTTGGAAATTGAGTTACTCATCAAAAAAAAGTGTTGGAAACTGAGTTTGGTTTGTTTACCGCAATACATGGAGCAAAAACATAAGGAATGCCTGTTGCTCTAACTTCAAGAGCAGTTGCAGCTCCAATCTTCTTGACAAGTTCGGGATCCCTGGTTGACAATACAAAAAACAGTTATTTTGTGGAAGAGATGTGACATACATGAAGCTGTGATTTTGACAGTTCTTTCATAAGATTTGTCTCAATGGAGTCTTTGTTAATTCAGCTCACCCTTAAATATTTAAGCGGAAATCAAAAGGTAATCAGATCCAAGACAAAAAGAAAATCCCTTTAGGCTCAGTTTGGAAGGAATACAAATACAAATATGTAGAGTGCAAAACCTTGTATTTTGTTTTATTTTGTATGTATTTGTACTGTACATATTTGTAATTGCACTCTTTCAAAACTAAGTCTTAAGTTATGAGTCTTGGTGGTCAATTTTCACTAAGTTATTCCCAATGGGAAATTGCTTTCCATAGGCTACAGCTGCAAAATAGTATCTATTTGCCCAATTTGATTTCAAACCCTATCCAATTTAATTAAGGTGTTTTTGATCCATTTATAATTGGGTTGAATTTGCATCTACCCCAATCTGATCCAATAATATTTAAGTATATATGCTTATATCTATATAAAATGGATGTATCTATTAGTAAAGTTGATATCTTTACTAAAGAGTCAGGTTCTGCTCAATAGAAGGTATTTTCAAGTGATTTTATTTATGATACACAATACTAAAGTCATTTTTAGTTCATTTTATAATTAGTAATATTTAATCATTTGATCGTTTTTAGTTTAAGTTGTTGATGCTATTCAGTATCCAAGTCTAGTCTGATCAAAATCCAATTATTCAAATCTGAGTATCAACAAATCAAGTTTGAATCTAGGCAATGTTGCAACACGAGTAGGCCCAACCCCAGCCTAGACCAACCCAGCCCAAAATTTTACATGGGCTGTGCCTAGGCCCAAATTCCTATGCTTTTTTATTTTCTAGATGGGCTTAGGCCTAGCTCAAGCCTAGCCTGATCTTAACCCAACCTTTAGCCCCAAACCTAGCTCAAGTACACATACATATACATTCACATCATCATCATCATCTAAGCCTTATCCCAACTATATCAGCTACATGAATCCTATTTCAGCATTCCTTTATATTTAATGATATATCCATTGTTAAATTATGATGCTTAAATCATTTCTTACTACTTCGACCCAAGTCTTTTTGGTCTACCCCTAGCCTTTCTCCCTTCAACTTGTAATTGATCACTTCTATAGGTGATCTTTTATGCACATGAGGAAACCATCTAAATCTACTTTCTCTCATCTTATCAGCACTAGCAATGACCCATGCGATGCACGGGCTCTTCTTTAAAAAAATATATTTTTAAGGGGAAAAATGAAGAAATAGTGGTTCACCAAAGTTTATATATATTTTTAGTTTTTGAGCTTCAAACTTACTCCTTTTTATATAGTTTATATATTATGAGAAGTACACAAATCAATTGCTTAGCATGAGAGCCAATTGATGGTGGTTTGGTTGGTAGGTTCTCTGGTAGTTGTAGCAGAGACCTAGGATCAAATCCCACTGCCATTAGAGTTGAGGTGTTAAGGGTTTGGGGAATGGGCTAAACCCTATTGTGCTTAGCATGAGATCATTAACCAAGTTAAAAAACAATTTCAAAATTCTGACAAGGATAACCAAAGGCTCATGTTAAGTGTTTCCTTACTACATTTTATTATTGAACTAGAACAATCCTTGAAAAGGATTGGTTCTCTCCACGTACTAGGTGGGAAAAGTTGGGATTTGAGATGTATTATTAGTTTGGGTCCAAGCTAGGGTTCATACTTAGGGTTGGCCCTTAACCTAACCCAATCCCAAGTTTGTTAGAGAGAGTCAAAAGGGATTAAAAGAGATTTACGAGGAAAAGTGTAATTTAATGGGGAGGGGAGATGTTACAAACATTGAATATTAGGGGGGGGGGGGGAGGAGAGAGAAAGAAAAGGATTTAAGAATGATCTTATTAGAGAGTAAATATGGATTTTATTAGAGACAACGAAGACCCATGAGGGTTTTAATTTTAATGATTTAATTTAAAAATAAATATGCACATGTTCGAGAAAGGAGAGGAGGAGGCATGTGTGAGCTTCGTGATGAGGACCCCTCACCTCCCTTCTTTCCTCTTTCTATTATGTATATCCTACCTATCTATCGTGTGCGCACACACACACACACTTCCTATTTAATGATTTGAATTACTAGAATTACTAATGTTAAGTATCATTATCATCTTAAGCCTTATCCCAAGTATGAAGTCAGCTATATGAATCCTATTTCGCCATTCTGTTTGTTTAGTGCATATACATTGTTAAATAATGAGTGGCTAGTGGCTAGTGGCTAGTGGCTAGTGGCTTTGACCTGCATCATTATCATCTTAAGCCTTATCCCAATAATGAGTGCCACTAGCCATTCTCCCTTTGACCTGCATCATATCACTTTTTTCTTACAAGTCCTTGGGCGGACTTTATGTTTCTAATTCTAAACTAAGTTTAGGGAAATTTTTTAATACATTGGGAATATAGGTTAACTTGAACCTGATTGACCAATCCAAACATGGCCCAGACCCGAACCCAACCCAAGTGTGTCAAGTTTCAATTTGGGCTGGGCCTGGGTTGGGCAGATCAAGCTCGATCTCGGGGCTCGAGCCTTAGGCCCAAGTCTTAGGACTGGGCCTTGGTTGACCTTAAACCCAGCCCAGCCCGCCGAAGTTGCAATCCAACTAGTTCTAGCCTTCTAGGCTGTGCAGACTGTGCGCAAACAAAACTAGCATCAAGAACAAATCTATTGAATCCAACTAGTTCTAGGCTATACAGACTGTACCCAAACAAGACTAGCATTAAGAACAAGTCTACTTAATCCAATTGGTTCTAGGTTATACAAACGGTGCCCAAACAAGTCTAGCATTAAGAACAAGTCTACTGAATGGATTCTAGGTTAATCTGCTTGCCTGGTAACTCCGAGACCGACATTGTGGGGGAATATTGTTGCGTTGTAGACATTGTTGTGTCCATGAACAGCGTCGATCCCATAAATCATAGGAATCCCAAGTCTGGTAGACAGAGCTCCCTTCTGGAGATCATTCACCATTGCAACCCAGGACTCGGGGGAAGCCCGAGAAGCGGGCACACTCCCTCCACCACTCAGTACACTCCCTAACCCAAACAGAGCACAGATTACTTCAAAATATTCTGGTTTCATCAATGGAAAAAGCAGATTATCGGTGTTTTACCAATGAAGTAGTTCTTCATCACTTTGGCAGAAGAAACGCTTCGCTCAATCTGCGTCATCTGTCCGATCTTTTCCTCTAAAGTCATCCTGCTCAAAAGGTCCTTGACCCGAACATTCAGTGGCTGTTGAGGGTCTTTATATTTGAGGTACTCTGCTTCTGCTATGGCTACCCAGGAGCACAACAACAGAAACCCCATTAAGGGGTTCAAGAATCTTCCCATCTTCTGGACCCTCTCTGCCTTTGGGCTGAAACCATGCAATAGGGAGAATCAGAATGCATACAAAGAAGCCATAAAAATCCTAAGATGAAGTAAATGAAAGAAAATTCTAAATAAAACCAGAGGCATTGCAAGACCCATAAGTAAATAACTAGAACAGCAAAAAGTAAGTAAAAATGCATATTGTATATTTTATAGATGAAAAGTAAGAAAAAATCTATCAATTTAACACGAAAAACCCCAATTCTCATGTTCAATAGCTCAAAAAGAAGTTCAAAACGCTGGGGAAAATGCAAAGCTACATATCTTTCAATCAAGAAAACTTCAAAATTTGAAGCGTAATGTAAATAAAACTTGCAAAACCCAAAACCGGAAATAGAACATAGAAAAAAGACCCAAGAAGAGCATAAGAAGGAAACGCGAAACCCACAGTTCGCATCTAATAAAAAAAAACCCATCATTCACAGAAAGTCAATTGCATCAGTAAATGAACAGGGAAAAAACAGAAATTTAGCTACTTGAGAAATTAAATGCAAAGAGGTGACACAGAGATTCTACATTCATCTTATCCAAATAGGATGAGAAAAAAAAGACCATGGATGACTATCGTAAAAAGAGTTTGACAGAGAAAAAAAAAAGAAAAAAACCAAGAGAGATGAAGAAAATCATCCTGCATTTGAAGAAAACGAAACTAACGGAGCTACCTTAGAAACCCGAAGAGCTTCAGATTCTTCTTCTTCCTGGAGGTCACAGAGTCAGAGACGCAGACAGTTGAAGGATCTGCTGCTCGTAAGTAAAAATGGAGAAGGAAAACGTCAACGATATCAGTGGTATTTATAGAAGGATCTGCTGCTCGTAATGCTGCGCACCCACTATGAAGTATGAACAAAAACACTAGAGCCGAACATCGGGATCATCTTGCATTAGATGTTCCTGATGTGCGGCTGTAGTGTCTTATCCATACCGCGCAGCAGATTTAATTAAACCTTATTTAAATCTTAAAATAAGTTCACCTTTATCTAATCCTAACCGTTGATGACTGGGCCCATCCCCTTGATTCATGGTGGTAGTTGGATTAGAATGAATGGCGAACCGAGGTATTCATCAACGGTTAGGATTGAGTGTTTAGGGTGGGAGTGCTTGGAAGTTGGAAGATGATAGAAGTCGGATGCCTTTTATCATTTATAAATCCAAGATTAGGACATGAGATTTGAGTTGCATGCACTTGACCGTTGGGTTCAAATTTTCATTAATGATTTGAAAGGATGCCGTGTGGCTCGGGTCCTGAGTCCTAATCCTATCTGGACAGGGTCGGGTTAGTGTAATCAGGTTCTGGGACAGCTTGGTTAAGCATTGAAATGTTTGTATAGATGAATAAGGGTCGGGTTAGTGTAATCAGGTTCTGGGACAGCTTGGTTAAGCATTGAAATGTTTGTATAGATGAATAAGGATTAGCTGAATACAATAGCTGGGACCTGCTCCTCACAGAACGCAATTCACAACAATATTAGAGGCATATCCCACCGTGCATTGGGAACATCTTTCATGAATTGGAATGTGCTATGAAGTTGGTGTGAGGTGCGGATCCAAATTCATTCAACGGGCTGTGGAATAACAAAAATGTAACTATGATTTTGTGGTATATTTGGAAAATCGGGAAAAACAAAATGTCTGGGATGAGATGGTGAGATTGTGTGTTTTGTATTTTGGTTTTAGGGTAAGGTGGGCTACGTCTTTCCCTATTTTTATCTTTCTACCTTTTGACAATGGTTAACTAAGGTGGCCGCCCTTCCACTTGGAGTAAATTTAGGGGTTATATCTCTCTATATATGACCAATCAAAACCCGCCCGTGAGTTTTCATAAAATCTACTCTAATTCCTTAACAGTTTATGATATTGGTAGATTAATCACAAAATTTTCCAATATCTTATCTTCCCCTATTATAGTCGAACCCTTTTCAAGAATTTTTATATATTAGCCTACTTCTTTGATTATTGATATGGTTAGAGCTAGGTATGTAGAGTTTAATTCCACTATGACCAGGAGGAGACCTCACCAACCAGTTGGATGGCACTTTGCAAAAAGAGCTTAAGCTTTGTCTTTAATGATCCTCAGTCTTGTGATTCAAACAAAGTTATTAAAGTGGAAGATGACATGAAGGTTAACTTTGATGCGTCTAGGAAAGAGGATGGTTGATGTGCAATTGGTGTGATAGCAAGAGATGATGGTGATGTTTGCAGTAACCAAAAATGTAAGCAAGTGTTCCCATCATGGTTTTTAAAACCGATCCGATGACTGAACTGGTCAGGGGTCCAGTTATCAAGTTGAACGGTCTGACTGTTTGAACCGAATGCTCAATCCGTTCTAACAAGAAAATAGAAAAATTCAAAAAAATAAAAAACGGTCAAAATTGTTCGAACAGTTTGAATGATTAACCGCCCGATTCAACGGTTCGCCGACCAAAATCAACGGTTTTGGAGGAAAATCCAGTTTTTGGGAAAAACGAAACCGATCATCTAATCGATTCCCGATTTTTCCGGTCCGGTCCAATTTTAAAAACCATGGTTCCCATCAATTTTGCAAAGGCTAGTGCTTGGGCAGCTATTGGAAGCTTAATCACACCTGATTGTTACAAAATTTAGGAGAATTTGTATTATTATTAAAGATGATTCTAAGCTCATGATCTATTGGCTTAAAAGGCAGTGAACACCCCCATTAGGGCTCTAATCAGATCGGATTTAAAAGAATCCGAATCCGATCCAATTATTTAAAACTTGAAATTTAATTATTCCAAATGTTTAATTTATTGTTTTCTTACATGTTTTTGAAAATCAGATCGAATCAAACAGTCGGACCAATTCACTCAAAAATCGGTCATGTCTCTAGGTCTGGTTTTGGACTCTAAAACTGTCCGACCAGGGTTCTGACTATTTGGTTCAAGAATTGGTGGTTAAAACGATTTTGTTTCCGGGTCGATTTTCAAAATCATAATTTCTTAAATTCATATTTATAGAAAAACTAATAATGCAATAGAGTGATTCACAGTTTTGGGTTGTAGTAGGTATTCACTAGGCCAGGTTTCAATCTTATAGCCTCTTTTTTCCTTTTTTTTTTGTTCTTTACTAAAACTTTCGTTGAAGTCCCTGATCACATTGATAGGACAGTCTAACACAAAAATGCTCGGATATATTATCCACACCTATCAACAAAATACTACAGCCGCACATCAGGAATATAATCAAGATTTTAAAAATCAATCCGGAAACAGAACCATTCTAGCTACCAGTTTCTGGGTCAGTGGTTTGATCGTCCGAGTCGAATGGTTCGAACGGTTTGCTATTAGGGCAAATATTTTATGAGTTATGAGATTTGAGAAAGGAGAGAAAGTGATGTTGTAGGTTGAGAAAGAAAAAAAAAAAGAAAGAAAGAAAGGAGAGGAAAAAAAGAAAAGAAGAGAAAGGAAATGAAGGAGGGAAGGAGGGAAGGAGGGAAGAAGGAAGAGGAGGGTGGTTTAACGCTCACCAGCGATGATAATGGCGACGACGATGGTGACAATGAAGCGACAGCAACAGACTCTGAGTTCTCAGATCTTCTTCTTCTTCTTCTTCTTCTTCTTCTTCTTCTTCTTCTTATTATTATTATTATTATTATTCTCTCTTCTTCTTCTTCCTTAGATCTGGGACAAAAATTCTCTCCTGCAACTTTATACTATGAACCACTGTTCGGGTCAAACGGAACCAACCATCCAGGTCGGTCTAGGCTGAACGGTTTTTGACCCAAGAATGGGTTAGGGGTGAAACGGAACCAGTTGCTTGTTCGGTTTCTGGGCTGAACAGTCCAACCGTTTGGGTCAACAATGGTTCAAAAGCATTGATTATAATTAATTATAGAACTTATTATTAGCAGCTATACAATTAACAGATCCTTAGGTTTAGTTTGAAAAGTGTACAAGTACAAGTATGTACAATACAGATACATACAAAATAATATAAAATACAAGGTTTTACACTCTACATATTTGTAGTTGTAATAAATCATAGAGTGGAAGCGTGAATTAGTTACAACTCTATGGGTTTCTTCAACGCTAGCGTATCCAAAAATAATTTTTAAGTGTAATGTATATATTGGTAGATAGAAAGATGGCTAACAGATGGTGTGTGTATATACTGATATATATCAAATTCATGGGAAGATGTTCTCAATGTGCGGTAGAGTCCCATGTTTTTATGGTGTGTGTATGTTTTGTATCCCTGTTTTTTCACCAAACATGTATGGGCTCCTCCCCCTCCTCAAATGGGTATAGGCTCCCATTGCTACAAATACAAAATTAAAATGCGGGCTATTAACATCAAGCAACAAAAAAGATGAAACACTTTAAGGGTCTGTTTGGTTCGCAGTCAGAATCGGAATTGAAATCCTTTGAAATTTGAATGGTCTATTCCCATAGTCTTCTTGGTTCAGATATGAATGGAAATGAGAATTGAAATCAGTAAAATTGGAATTTCATTCCCAAGGGAGGGGTAGGGAATGGGCATTCTCTCAAATAGGGGAATGCCATTCCAGCAGGAATGAGAATGGGATTTCAATTTTATCCACCTATTTTGATTCTGATTCCAGACCCCTATTCCCACGAGCCAAATGGGGCCTAAAATTTCTTTTATGCAGTATGAAATTACAAATACTAAGAAAGAAATAAAACAGAGCAAATACTTGCAAAATAACACATAAAGTCTGCCCTCCTCCTTTCCCCTCTAATTCTTTGTGCAAGCTGAATGTCCTTACCATTGTTTGCGTGTATGGCATAAAGGTTGGTTTCTTCAAATAAATGAAATAACCCAACCAAATAAGTTTCATCAGCTTCCTCAAAGCAGCAACTAATGTCCCTTAGCATTAGCAGCCTTGGTTGCTTTCCTTAGGGCTTTGCTTCTAAGATTTCCTTGTGAAAGAATTATAGGGTTTCTTTTGGGTGATTGCGAGGGGTTTGGTTCATCTGCATCTGGTCCCAACATGGTTTCCAATAACCGGTCCAACGACCATTGCAACTGTACATTAGGAACATCTTTTCACGGAAGACAAGGGAGATGTTCCCAGTACATGGCTGCAATAGCTGTTGGGACTAATCCAAACTCAATTGAGAGAACAAAAATAGAAAACACATTGGAAGCAAAAGCAAAGTGAAGGGTTCAACTTACCCGTTGAAGATGTCTTGATGTTCCATTTCACAGAATTTGTTTTTTGCATATTTGTATTCTTTTCAACAAATTTGTTTCTTGTACTTATCGTACGTGTATTCTTTCCAACTGAGCCTTGTAATTTTAAATAATAAATAAATAGCTAACAAAAGGTTTCATCTTTTTTTTTTTTTTGATATTTTTAATACAACACACTAATAACTTTTGAGGTAGATGATAGCAGGTAGTGGGACTCGAATCTGCATTTCTGCTGGGATTATCCAGCTAATGTACCAATTAAGCCACCATTCACTTGGGTTCATTTATTCTATCAAATTTGCACACATTGTATAATTCAAGATTTTTAAAACCCAACCGAACAATGAACCGGTCAGGGGTTTATTTCTCGGGTCGAATGATCCAATAAGTCAAATCAAACAGACGGCCTGTTCTAACAAAAAAATAAAAAATGGCCAAACCATTAAATGGTTTGATCGCCCGGGTCAGTGATTTACTGACCAAATCAACAGTTTTTGGCAAAATAACAATTTTGGAGTAAAACGGACTGACCGGTTCCCAATTTTTCCATCAGATGGTCTGGTCCGGTCCGATTTTGAAAACCATGGTATAATTAGATGAG